AAATGGGTTTTCTTTCCCTAAGGCTGGCCAAGATCCTAATGATGAGTGGCAAGTTAGCATTAAACTGATTGCTCTGTCTCGAAGGAGTTGGGGATGCCTTGCAGCTGAGATTTATATTTACTTTGGATACAGAGTACAGGTTTTTCTTTCCTCTTTACAATCAGATCACTTCCTAGAGAACACTAGTTGAGCAACCTGGCAGTGCTTTGCCTTGTATCCATGCCTTTGTCTCCTTCTCTCTCCAGTAAAATTTGTCTTATGTGATCAAATGTGAACATGAAACAAGTTTGCTATCTATTGTGATAAAGACCATGACCCAAAGAAATTTGGGAAAGAAAGAGCTATTGGACTTATATGTCTCTATTAAAGTTTGTCTCTGAGAGAAGTCAGGACAGGAACTCAGGAAGGAGCATGGGAATAAGCCATAAGGAAAGCTTTTCACCGGCTTGCTTCTCACGGCTTCTCAGCTTGCTTCTTTATACAACCCACGACCAACTGCTCAGAGGTTGCCACAGTCGCCTCAGCCCACCCATCAATCACTAATCAAGTAGCCTATGGCAGCTTAGTCTGCAAGCGGGTTCCCTAGTAATGGGAACAGGGACTGTCTCTGACATGAACTCAGTAGCTGGCTCTTTAATCACCTCCCCCTGAGGGGAAAGCAGCCTTATCAGGCCACAGAGGAAGACAATGCAGCCAGTCCTGATGAGACCTGATAGGCTAGGGTCAGATGGAAGAGGAGGAGGACCTCCCCTATCAGTGGAATTGGGGAGGGACATGGGAGGAGATGAGGGAGAAAGGGTGGGATTGGGAGGGGGCTACAGCTGGGATACAAAGTGAATAAACTGTAATTAAAAAATAAACACTTAAAAAAAAAACAAAAAGAAACAAGCAAAACAAAATAAAGAAAATGCTTCACAGACTTGCCTATAGGCCGATGTGATAGAGACATTTTCTCAACTGAGGTTTCCAGAGGACTCTGGCTTATGTTAAGTTGACAAAAACTAACCAGGACAGGGCTCCATTCAACATTTGCACGTGCACATATTTAAGAGTTCCAGAAATCATTATCCGTACAGAAAAGAGGGGCAGAATTCCAAGGATAAATGCTTTGCTTTTTTCTCCTATGATATAGTTTCATGATATATTTGCAAAGCGTTGCAGAGAGACTCAAAAGGAGAAAGCTTTAGTTCAACAAATTGGAAGAAAACTACATATGATACGTTTGTACAGACCATTGGCTTCTGCTGTTCTTCAAAAGTGGTCTCAGATAGACTACTATCCACAATCCTTTGCTCTATGCTTTGTCTTCTTCTAAATGTGATAGGCATCTTCAGATATGAATTTGTACTTCTCAGCATAATGATCAATAAATTGGATCAGTATTAGGGAGAAATTGCTTTATATATTTTGTTGATGATGTAGTGGCAGAGATTATCTAGAAATATGCCGAATTCATTTTTCTTTCTAACAGGTACAGAAGTGAACTGTGTTCCCCAGCTTCCCTCACAGGTAAGTCAAAGTGAATGTGATGTGTTAGACAGTTAGGACTGACCCATCAAAGTTTCTACAGCAAATTTTGTATTCTTTATTAACATGGATGTGTTGGATGGGTCTCATGGACTGAGTCTGGATAGACTCTGAGTCTATGGACTCAGAAGAGAATTCACCTGGGAGAACATGGAATCATTAAATAGCTCTCTGGCAACTGAATTTCAATAATCTTCAATTCCCATCCCAACTGTTTATGTTGGTGAGGAATTAAATCTTGTATCATTATAAGATATTTGATGTCATTAGTCAAAGGAGCTAGTCATATAGATATCTGTATAAAAATGTGTGTGTTGAAGTGTGGTGTTGCCAGTGTATAAAACTGACATACACAGGAACAGGCAGCAGTCAGGTAGTTGGGAAATGCCTGTTGGAGTCTGGAAAGGAAGCTAGACTTCATGTTCTACAGAGGCCAGTAATTCTGTACAAAAGAAAAGGAGATCAAACATCCAAACAAGCCATAGTTCAGATGAGGTGGTTTTACTAAACAGCATGAACAACATCAGAAACTGATTATTCTACACTAGCATTGTGTAAAGTTTTCCAATAAGAATGGCTGCTGACTTGAAGTGGGAATGCATTAGGTTTTCAGACAGAAATGAGAGGGATTAAAATGTGAGCAAATACTGATAAAAGTTAGCTGTAGGTCCCCCATGGGTAAGAGGTAAGATCCAGCAGGCTCACATCCTTTCAACTACAAAAGCCCAGTCAAAATGACGGAGCTACATGGCTGAGGATTTAGGGTAACCTTTCCACTCAAGCCTACTGTTTAGACTATCTTAAATCATAAATAAGAAAGTTCTGGATGTAAGGAAGCCATAAATAAAGCAGATGTAAGAACACAAATTAAATAAAATAACTTTTAAAAAAATATATGCTGGCAGATGAAGCTAACTAAAAGCAGATTAGAAAATTAATAAATGCTTAAGAGATTATATTCCCAAAGGAACTACTAGTTGGGTTGTAAAACAACGATAACAACAAAAACCAAAACCATGTGATTTTCAGATTTTACCTTATCCTTCAAAATGAATAAACTGAATTTGGCTTGTGTGCCCTCCACAGTCATCAAAGAAGGATTACTACTCCAAACAGCTAAGATAGGGATCTAGTAAGACACCAGGCCAAGAAGAACCTTGTAGAAGACCAAATGGAAGAAAGGTGAGGTTGTTCTCTATAGATTCATGATCTATTGTGTGAGCTAGTGAATCTACACTGCAATGAGGTTCCTATAGCTGGTTCTCATTATTGTATACTAGGTAATGATTTCTCTCTCTCTCTCTCTCTCTCTCTCTCTCTCTGTCTGTGTGTGTGTGTGCTGGTGTTTGATGTTGGGGTAAATTGGATCTCAGGGAACGGTCTTTTTATTTCAGTTTTTTTTTTCTTTCTTATTCTAAGGCATGACATCTGGATGCATTGCATATCATAAAATCGCCTTCAAGCTAGTGGTAGGATGGGAATTTAGAAAATTTTGAGATGTGTTCTTAGGAAAGGGATAAATATCTTCTATGTGTGCTCTCAAGAGTGAGCTTATGTTTGTTAAAGGTTAAACAAACAATAGCGACTGTGTGGGTGTTGGTTGATAATCCTAGTGTTCTTCCTTTTGGTGCAAGCTTAGACTACGATGCCCAGTCTTTGGGAAGGTAGGTATGGTCACGTGAGTTGTTGTCAGGTGTGTATGAGAGACATGCACTGCTGTCCCTCTCAGACAATCAACACTCCAGTGTGGTTAGCCTATATACTAAATATTCTTTCTCTGTTCTGAGGCTAAGTGACAAGGACCTTCATACCTTTCGCTAAATCAGATAGATGTACCTATTGGAAAGTGCCAGTCTTTCTTAGGTGGCCATTTTAAACGCTAATGCATTTTATGTTGCAGTGAAAAGAACACATCCTGTGCGAAGCTTCTGTTGCTCGTTATACCACCTGGCACAGAGCTGACATGTAGGAGAATACAGACTTGCATTAGTAGAATTAGTAGAGACCCATATCTGAGCTTTATAAACCGTATAATTGGATAAGCCTACAAGACAAATGTTGGAAAAGTATCAGAAGAATACAAATCAAGGTATGGAAAGACAGAGTACTGCAATTAAAAAAAAAAAACTGACCAAAAAAAATAAACTCTTCTTGAAGTTGGCTTGAAGTCTAAAGATGTCTGAAGATGATTAGAACTTCTACAGTGTTGGAGCAGATGTGGTGGATAACCAAGGGAAAAGCAGGCCACTTTATGCACTGATCTACACTCAGATACCAGACTCCGGTGCATGGATCAGTGTGTAAGAAGGAAAGGAACTGAAACAATGAACGTAGGCAACTTCTTTGGATAGGATGGGAGTAAGGCTAAGGGCTCCAAGCAGAGATAACTGGCTCTGGAAAATGCCCATCACTGGCAAAGGGGGAATGGTAGCAGGCAGAAACACACAGGAGCTAAAGCTCCAAGCTCCTTTGTATGTCGTGTGAGTTGTTTTCACAAAACAGTTTGATAATCTCAAGACAGTGATTTCAGCACTCAAGCCTAAATAAGCCCAGGGCCTAAATTTCTGTTTTCTTTCCCCTAAATTAAAGGTTAACCTTAAAAACTATATTTCCATCTTATTACTAGAGGTTAACCAGCAGATGTGATAAAGTCCAAGTGGAGAGAAAAATAAATCAAAGGAAATCTCTACTTCAGGGGCAGGACAGTTTACCTCCTAAATTTTAAAATCAATAAACCCTGGTGAGCCCCTCTTGGCTCTCCACATCCTTGTGTTGTTTGCTTCCACAGTCACCTCGAGATTGCCATGTGACTTCTCACGTGACTCACCTTGTTCGCTGGCATATTCACAAATATGACAGGAGGAGATAGTTGAAAGATACCTGTATATCTGGTCTTAGTCACTAGGAATTCTGCCGCATGTAACAGTCCACTCTGTATTGCCAACGAAGACCTCAAAGGAGAATTAGGCTGCACCAGCCAACTGTGCTTGCTAAATACCAACCTGGTCAATCCAGCCTCAGTAGAGCGGCCAGGTCTGAGTCCGACACAAGAGCAAATCCAGACAAAAGTGTCAGTAGGATGCACTCAAAGCCAGTGGCTAAAACTGTTCGGCTAAGTGGATAATTGGTTAATGATTTTAAGACCATGTTTGGAGTTGATTTGTTGGTACATAACAATGAACAGTTGATATGTTCAGCCTGTAAATGAAGCCTCTTATGCTTTTATTACTAAAATCAATAAATTATTATCACTATAGCAGCCTATCAGTTTAAAAAAATGTATCACTCTCTGATAAACAGGGAAAAAAAGATAAAATAGAACATAACCAAACTAAAGAATGCAAATTGTCTTCATGACCATTTTTGGTGGAGATTGGCTAAACAACCTTTTTTTTTTTTCTTTGTATTGTGGAAAACAAGATAGATATGTAGATAGGTAGATACATAGACAATCTTCTAATTGGATAACTTACTGAAACATGATTTTCTATGAAGCATGTGCTGGAAAACTAGGCACAGAGGTTCTTCGTTCTGTGTGGTACTCCTGCAAGCACAGGGCACTTGAAGGACTGTCCCAAAGATTCCCAGGTAGGCAGCCCTGCAGCTGTCACTTCCAGAGCAAGTAAGGTCTTGCTTGCCCAACATGCTAATGCAAGTCTCATCTTCATGGCACCTCCCAGTCAGGCGGGGCCAGCATTCTGTCTGGAATGTTCTGTAGTGGGTCCTAGAAGAAAGAGTGAAAAACTGGAGTTAGCCTGTTTCTGCTTGCTGAGCGTGTGATCCGCTTAGCAGAGGCTCTTTTTCTATGTGTCTGTCCCATATGTGTGTTTCATCATCCCCCATAAACACCTTTCTTTAAAGATTTCTGTCTACAGTGCTTGGGGTTTCTTGGCTGCTACCTGTTGAACTCAAGATTTTCCCTGACTTTTAAATTTTTTTAACTGTCTGAGAAAACAGATTTTATCCAGACCACTAGACTGAATCATTTTCCTTCCCCCAAACCCATTTAATCTGAGAATGACTCATTACTGTATATGGTATACATTTTCTTATTAACTGTCTTCTTTGACAGAATAAACAAGCAGGACAGACATTACTAACTGATGCCCTGATAGGCGCTTGATTTGTGTATGCTGAATGAACAAATAACAACTAGCTTGACTGAGCAACTAGCTTTCCTTTCCTCCATGACTGTACTGGCTGGTCTTGTGTGTCAACTTGACACAAGCTAGAGTCACTAGAGACAAAGGAACCTCAGTTGAGGAAATGCCTCCGTGATCCAGCCAGAAGGCATTTTCTCAATTAGTGATCAATGCGGGGGAGGGCTCAGCCCGTGGTAAGGAGGTGTCATCTCTGGGCTGGTGGTCCTGGGTTCTATAAGAAATCAGGCTGAGCAAGCCATGGAAAGTAAGCCAGTAAGCAGCACTCCTTCGTGGCCTCTGCATCAGCTCTGCTTCCAAGTTCCTGCCCTGTTTGGATTCTTGTCCTGTCTTCCTTTAGTGATGAACTGCAATATGGAAGGATCAGTTGAATAAACCCTGTTCTTTCCAACTTGCTTTTTGGTCATAGTGTTTAGTCGCAGCAATAGAAACCCTAAGACAATAGCAGATAATGTGAAGATGGGAAAAGGGAGAAGGACATTGGTGATGTCATGGGCAGACAAGGGTGCAGGGGATGTCCAGGCCATACTCAGACCACCCTGTTCTTCTTCATCCACAGCTTGAGAAAGAAAGCATTGATTTTGGAGTTTGAAGAGCTGCTTTGCCAAAATTAACAGGCTTTTTCAGCACAACAGTCCAGCTGTAGTGGTTCAGCCTGTGAACCCAGTACTCAGGGGGCTGAGGCAGGAAGATGGTGAGTTTAAAGTCAGCCTAGTATACAGAGAACAATCTTATCTAGAATAAACAAAAACCAAACAACAACAAAGATTCTGTAATAACACCCATGGGAAAAAGTTGATTGTAGACTGAGCTAGATTAGAGGAGAAAGGCAATGTCAAAAAGCCTAACAAACAGTTCAAATCATAGGACCTACATAGTGAAAGAAGAGAACCAACTTATGGACGTTATTGTCTGTATCCGAGCGGGCGTGCGTGAGTGTGTATGTGTGTGTGTGTGTGTGTGTGTGTGTGTGTGTGTTTGTGTGTTCGTGCACACACACAACAAATATCTCTAAGAAGAAGATATACAGGTCATCACAGTTCAACATAGTGAGTGTTTTTTTTATTATTATTCTAAAATCCTGCTCTGCAGTTTACATTTGAATTTCAAAAGGGATACCACACATGTACCACAGATTCCGAATGTGAATTGTCTGGCTTTCTTTACACCATTTTGGATGATGGTGGGAACTCCAGTAATGGAAGGAGATCAAATGTTAAGGTTGGACTATAATGAATAAGGTGCCGAAATAAGAAAGCAAGGTATGTGTGTTTTTACTCACCTGCATACTTCATCATTTCGGCAAGTGTGAATTACACTGAGGCAAGTGGGGGGCGGAACTGCTTTCAGTGCACACGGCTTGCTGTGAAGAGTTTCTCTGGACTGCTGACAGGGTATATCAGATTGAGCACAGTCACAGAAGGCCAACATCTGGGCAGTGTTAAAAGGCACGTTTTGATAGAAGAACCGTATGGCTGCTTGGCAGTGTTTCACGTCGCACAGATTTCCATTTGCTGAGCATGCTTTAAGGTAAAGGGCCAACTGCGCATTACAGACCACGTCCCCTACACATGCTTCTGTCACTTCCAAACAAGACTGCATCTGTTTGAATCCTGAAAGCAATAAAATGCCCGGGTCATAGAAAAACAAGCCTAAGATTGTATGTGTAGAGCCTGTAAACCAAACTATGGGAACTCTACAGGCTGAGGACAAAAGCGTACCAGGGCCTACGATTTCTTTAAAGGCTTGATGGCCCCGTGTTTGAATCCTCTTTCATTAATACTATATGCATATTGTGATCCAGACGGGTGGGAAATGGATGGGACCAAAGTGGAGCTTTGAGGGGGGAGACATCCCTGACTTCAACTTTCTCAAAAACAAGCATTAAATCTTCAGAAAAAGAAATGAACTACGTAACTAATGTGAGATCACTGTCTCCAGTCAAAATCATTCTAGCTCTGTCACAGTGAATTGGGGGAGGGGCATTGGATAGGAAATTCTTAACAAAGGTACTACACAGTTATCGTTGCCTATGAAGATGCTCATGTTCTGATGGAAATATATATATATATATATATATATATATATATATATATATATACACACACATACATACATGGCTAATGCCTCTGCCGTCAGTACAGGCACACACAAAACAGTTGACTTCAAACCCTTTAGCTTGTATGATTAAAACATCCTTAGAATTTACTCAACCTTTGGTTTTAGTAGAGAATTATTTATTAAAATCATAAAAGAATTTCTTAAAATAATAAAGGAATTATTTCATAAATAGAAAATGGAAGGGCAAAGTAGTTGTTTTCATAATCATTGTTGGAAAGAAGGTCACAGTCTTGCTGTAATTTTTTAAGTGCAAATATTAAATTACACAAATTACTTTATATTGGCATATCATTAAGAGTCTTCATAACAACATTTAAATCATAACATCCAGTTTTTATAATGTAGGTAAAAATAATAGTTTATACACATTACCATGATATAAAGGAGTAGTTAGATTCCCTCTGTACTTATTTTCCTTTTTTCATCTTATCTAGAAAGAAAACATTTTAACTCTCTCACTATTAAACCATTTCCTAAATTTTCTAGAAGCTTTGAATGCATAGTCAGTCAAATACATATGACCTTGTATAACACTTATTTAATCCTTGATATTCAAAATTAACGGGCGATAAATTATTCTCTGAAGGAGAGAGAGAGATTGCCATACCAACTGGTATGAAATGCGATTTTAAAATTGTTTTTTTAACTCTGGTTATTTTAGTCTCTAAGGAGTCTTAGTATCCATAATTGTAGAATTAGGAATTTTCACTGGTAGGGTTTTTTATTCTGTAAGTATTAACTGGGTTTTTATGAGACACCAGCTGGCATACCTGAGAACAGCATTATGTTACCTCTGTTGCTAACATCCCACAGCTTCATAGAAAAATGAACATAACTAAAGCCAATGTAAGGTACAAGAAACAACCACAGACCTGTGCGAATAGCGTTAAGAAAGGCAATGTGATCATAATTACATTTTATAATATTTAACTGATGTACTTATTTTGCAATTGTTATTAAGACATAACTTTTTTGTCTGATACAGACATTCTCTCATGACTAAGCTTGTCTTTGCTGGGCTGTCTGTGCTCCTTGGTCATCGGCTCACTTTAAACAAACACTCATACAACCACAGGTATGATCTTTCTAGTGTTGTGTGTTCCAACCTCCCAGACTCCGCATTTCCCTGGCTGTTTTCATTGTACATTTCTAGTTTTCTGTTGATTAGGTCAATAAGAATCACCATTTCTTCTCAAATATAACTTCTTATCTTTCTGAGGAAGAGCCAACTTCTATTCTGTGTTAACTACTATACTAAATAAAATGTCTATCAATCAATCAATCAATCAATCAATCAAGCAAGCAAGCAAGCAAGCAAGCAAGCAACAAACAATACACCAAGCAACCAACCAACCAACCAACCAACCAACCAACCAACCAACCAACCAACCAACCAACCAAAAAGAGCCTTTAGTGAGTCATACAGATGTTCTAAACTTCAAACCCAGACTTACTAATACAGGTAAACATCACAACTTGGGACAAACTGACAGGTCTGTGCTATAGACTAAAACATTCAGGAAACCACCATTGACCCATCAATTCACAGTCACTTTATTGTCATCAGCCGAATGCTTAAATGCTTATGCTTTGCTTTCAAACATGAATGCTAAAGCCTTAAATTTATGTGTGTGTGGATACAGTGTTTTTAAGGAACCATGAAGGACGAATAAGGCCATAATAGTGGGACACTGCTCTGATTGGATGGATTAATATTCTTAAAAGAGGAGACATCATATGCTTCTCCCATCCCCTCCCAAATCCATTCCTTTTTGTTTGTTTGTTTTCTGAGACAGGGTTTCTCTGTGTAGCCTTGGCTGTCCTGGACTCACTTTGTAGAGCAGGCTGACCTCCAACTCACAGAGATTCACCTGCCTCTGCCTCCCCAAGTGCTGGGATTACAGGCATGAGCCACCACACGCAGCCCCATACCCATTCTTTAGCACACGTCAAGAAGGAGTCGGATAGTAGGGCGTAGTGGTGCCTGTCTTTAATCCCAGCACTCGGGGGCAGAGGAGGCAGATCTTGGTGAAATCAAGGCCAGCTTGGTCTACATAATGAGTTACAGGATAGCCAGAGCTACATAGTGAGACCCTGTCTCAAAAATACAGAGTGGGTGTCACATATGGACATAGCAAGAGGACAGGAAGGAAGGAAACTTCATCAAGAGTAGAACCTACTGGAGCATCTGGGTTTTCTGCTTCCAAACTAAGAGGAACAAATCTTCTTCCCTCAAGGCCCTTTAGTGTGTGGGGCCTTATTCTCAGCCTGAATAGAACAAGGAACTCAAATTGTGTGAGTAGCTGTCACCCAAACAACAAAACATTTACTGTTATTGTAAAAAATGAATTTCATGTCAGATATTATAACAAAACTATTTGTATATTAAATACCAACCTCATGTCAGTTCAGATGCGTGTATGTTCTATTTGTATATGTATATATGTGTGCACTTTTCCAAGAGGGTATTTTAGTAGGTCTATTATTGAAAAGTAGCTAAAAGACAGTATGTTTGGGGATAAACAATTATGTGCCAACCAGAGCAAACTTGAGTTATACAACCATATACAAAATTACAAAAATTTTGTATATTAAAATTTTATAATAAAAAATCACAAAACATTTGATAAATTTGGTTCAGAATCACTACCATTTTTCTTCTTTAACATGACAGTATCTGGAGCTAACTGCTTTCAGATATTTTGATTTAAATGTTAGAATCTCATAAAATATGCTTATAGGAAGCTAATAGATATATTTCTATAAGATGATAAATCAAATTAAATATGCTAGAAAACTGCTTTTCTACTAATACTTATTGTAAACAAGATCCTGAAAGGCAACTGAAAGAATCAGCCATGGAAGAGAGATTGAGTTTGTCATGCTGGAGCCTGGCTCTTCCGCGACTTGCAACTTGCTTCCCTGCTTAGCTATGGACCACTGCTTACTCTCCAGGTGGAGTCAGGCAAGGGTGTTTAGACCAATTGTATCTACTTATGCATTTTCCCCACATTGATCCGCTTGCATCAACAGCTTCGAAATTTTGGCATCGTCTGATCCTGCCACCATTCTGGCCCAAGACAACATAAACATTTTCCGTAACCTAGACTAGTCCAATAGGCTTATCTTTTATAAGTGGGTGATTGTTTCTTCTCAATTTGTCCTTTCTGTTTGTCCAAATCTCATGTCTATACGTCATACATGGAATCACACTTAAAGGTCACACTTAGTGCTTGAGGTCATCATTTGGACATCTAGTAAACACTGCAGACACATTGGATCCAGATATGTTCTCGGTCCTAAAGCCTTTTCTCCCAGTAACTACCCATGTTAATGAAATGAATGGCAATGGTATCATTGGAATTAATGACTCCAAAGAAAGAAAAAAAAAAAAAAGAGAAAACAAAGAAAAACAAAACACTTTAGGATCAACTTCAAGTCTTGTTCATTCATGCATTCTCCTGTGATTCATGAATACAAACATATATTTAGACTATAACATTTGTTTACATAGGTCCATCGTCCAACATGTTTTTGAGGTGCAAGCATTCATGTCTCATAACAGTTGTGAGTACCGTGGAGCGAGGGCTCATGTTTATTGACGTTTTTCCAGGTTCTGGGTTTACCCAGCAGGTTATTGACTTACCTGGGCCATCACTCATGTCTAGAGATCCTCAAGAGGAGGATTAAGGATCAGCCTCTTGCCTGATAGGCTGAATAGGAGAGAATTCTGCAAGCTCACACTGCTCTGTGCAAGCAACTAAGTTCTTGTAGCAATCGCACTGCATTTCAGCTCCTCCGTTAAATCCTGTGCTCCTTTCCATGGCCTTTCCTGCTAAGCCTTTGCCTCAGAGCACGCTGTGCCCGCAAAGCTGTTTCACAATCTGTTTCTCAGGAAGGTGGCATGAGACTAGAAGACTCTAGAGAGCCTGGTTTTTGTTTGTTTTCGTTGCTCCTTTTTATCAGGGGTTTAGATGTTATCATGGGGAGGTAGAGGCACTCTAAATAAATGAGTCTCCTGCCATGCTTTATGTTCCTCCTGCCCCTCTCTCTTTTCTTTCCTTTTCTAGACAGAGTCTACCATGTAGCTTTGGCTCTCTTGGAACTCAGTATCTAGACCAGGCTGGCCTCAAACTCACAGAATTTCACCTGCCTCTGCTTTGTGCATTAGGGGATTAAAGGCATGTGCTATTATAGTTGGTTGTTCCTTTAATTTTAAAATTTCCCTAAAATATAGCAATCTTCTTCAATAAAGGACTTTTCTTTCTTTCACTTCCTAGACATTGTCAATGTTTCTTAAGTATTTGCTCAATGAATAAATGAGGAAATAAAACTGACAATGTGCCAAAATACTAAATTTACTTTGCTTCATTTTGCCTGGTACCATTTGTCCATCGTCATGGCATGAAGATGTACAGACATTAAATTTCCAAGAGAAACTTAATAATAATATTCAAGGTAGAAATGACAAATAGAATCAGAAATTAAATATTCTTTAGTTAACGTTCTTTATGATTATGTTTAATGTTCCTAAATTCTTCCTTTAAACACTAACCTGAAGCAATGTCCTTGGAACCACCTCCGTTGCCTTGCTTGAAGGTGGGAATTTGATTGACTTGAGTACCTTGTACACAAGTGTCTTCAAACAAGCTTTTCCAAATCCGAATGCAGTCTCCTTCTAAAGGGAATCCGCACCGACAGTCCCACAAAACCGTGCCTCTGAGGCTCTGTCTCAGGCCCACACACAACCGTCTACCGCTGAGACTGCGGCATTGCGCTGTTCCTGTGCCGCAGGCTTTCTTAAAGCTCTCGTGGAGCAGAGCGCAGTGCTCAGATTCCTGGCAGGCCTCCGCCGCCGCGACACAGTCATTCTTTCTTTTAGCCACTAAAGATGTGTCTTTTCTCTGGAGCCAAGGTGTGACATTTGATCGTGGCACCCAATCGGAGGGCGGTGGTGACTCCTCTGCGAATAGATTGAAAGAGTGGTTTAAGAACAAGCCCGTTTACTCTTTACGTATTCATAAACTCTCTTCTGTATTTTAAAGAATTGGGTCCAATTTCAAAAATATTGGAAAATTGTTTCAAGGGATCTATCTTAAATGACCTGTAACTTAGAAGAGTTGAGACAATAAGTTTCAATTGCCGATTGTGTATACACCATTCAATTGTGTATAACATTAGTACTGGCTTTTTCTTGGAGATACTTGGTCTTCATTAACTTTTGTCTTCCTTACTTTCTGATAATTGATACAAGTTGTAATTAACTTAAATATGTACATTTAATACATTATTTCCCATATATACTTTTATGAACTTCATTTCCTTCTGGAAATGTGTCTTTACCAAAGGGCTTCTCTGATGTTTTCCTTATTTCTCTTCTTATACAATTTTAGGTGTTTTTCCCCCTAATTCTCTTAGCTCCTCATATAGCTTTAATTTCATATTAAATTCCATTTAATTCCACTTTTCATCTGTCTATACACATGTCCATGAAATTAGACAGGGTAAATTTAAAATATATGCATCTTTATAATGTATATTTTGTTTTTACATATAATGAAATAAAGTACTTTTTACCATTCTAACGTAGCAATTTTGACCCTTTGGAGACTATTTTACTCTACATAGAGCTAATAACCCATATTATGTTCATGCAAGATAAACTACAAAAGCTCACCCATGACATAGAAACAGAGCCAACTTTATAACAATTAATCATAAAAATTCACATTTTCATATATCCCATGATGAATTGTGTAGATATAATTCTATTTAAACCAGTAACTGAAGCAAATATTACCTGTCTTATTGATGCATTTTTTTCCAAAAAGTTTGTTTATTGTACAGTGAAGGTCATCGACACAAAGACACTGTTTAAATTGGACATTTTTTTCCACCAAAGACTGGATACTCAGGTTACAAAGTGATGAATTATTTATCTTGCAGGAGTCACCTGGATTTTAATCACATATAACACTGAAATATTAATCTGAATATACATTTTTAGTTCTTCTTCCTAAAGTGTTTTTTTTTTTAATATACCAACCCAAGAAATTAGTAAGTTTAGTAAGGTTATCTTGTTTTGCTAAAGGTTTGTTCATGAAAGTGACTCCACACCCCCACCCATACCCCCAGATTTTTAACAGAAAACGGAAATATTTTTGGCCATAAGATGCATTTTAATATATGAATATTAAGTTTGATTTGAGGACAATACTCAAAGCACCAGATCCCTTGGTCCTTAATTTACCCAGAGAGCTCCAAGGAAACTTTATCTTTTGAACCCCAAACACTAAGGGAAGCAGGGTGACTTAAGATCTGTTGAATACACAAAAATTCTGAATTTTGTTCTTAAACTATCCACTCTTGAGAGGTTTTGATGTGAGAGCATCTGGATCAAGGTGGGAGTTGCTAATGTACCTAACCAAGAACTTCTCCAATACCTAGGAATTACACATTTAAAGAGAAAACCTACAAATATCAAACAGAAAATATCAGAAGCTTGACCATACCCCCATGCTCCGCTCACTCATTCTACCTTGCTCCCCCAACTCTCCCCAGAGGGATATAATTTGCCAACTTACTTAGCAGGCAAATATCCTACTGAGGATCTACATATAAACCTTCAGGTTCATCTTTTTGTTTTAAAATTTTATACATTTTAAATTACAATATAATTATATATTTTTTCTTTTCCCTTTCCTCCCTCAAGCTGCACTCAAGTCCCCTTCCTCCTACTTTTCCAGTTCCCCCACTCTTAAATTGATAGTCTCTTCTTCTCTGATTATCATTGTTACATATACATGTATATATAGATATTCATATGTATTACCATTACATGTGTGTGTCTTTGTTTGCACAGATATATAAATGCCATCTGCTGAGTCTTTTTT